TGCCTACTTGTAATGGCTAGATGTAGCCCTGATGACCTTCACTACGGCAGAAGCTGTCATCAAGGTACTACAGAGACTTTTCTCCATGCACGGCCTGCCCGACATCCTGGTTTCTGACAACGGGCCCCAATTCACGGTCATGCAATTCGAGACCTTCTTAGCAGCACAGGGAAGCAGACATGCCCTGGTTGCGCCATTCCATCCAGCCTCCAATGGTCAGGCGGAGAGAATGGTGAGATCTGCAAAAGAGGCCCTATCGAGGATGGGACCAGGAGATTGGCAAACACGGGTTGACCACTATTTGCTAATTCAGCACATCACACCCAGTGCCACTACAGGGAGAAGCCCCTCCAAGCTTCTCATGGGTCACCAGCTAAGGTCCCACTTAGACCGGCTACACCCAAACTATTCTGCCGCATCACCCCCTGACTCCACAAGCAAAATTCGGAACTTTAGCATAGTTTATGCCCACAACTATGTAGGGGGAACTCTGTGGATTCCTGCCACAGTGATAGGCATCACCGGGCTTCGCTCTTATCATGTAGAGCTCAAGGACAGTCGGAATTGGAGAAGGCATGTTGACCAACTCCGTGGCTGCCTCTCCAACTCTACTCTTAGACAACCAGAGGTAACTCCTGCACGAGTTAGCCAAAGCCCTACCCAAATGGAGCAAGAACTCATTCGATCCACATGCAGCTCAAGTCCAAGGGTACCAAGGAACGTATCTGGTTGTGTTGCAGGTCGCAGCGAGCTCCGAGCGAACTGGCTCTAGAAGCTCCAGCCGCGGCCTGTGAAAGGTTCCAGGAGCTTCCACCAAGCAGAGCTGCAGAGCAAACAGGTCCGTCCGACCTGTCCAAAGGACACCCCTTGACTGAACTGCGCAGGACAGGCAGAGCTACCAAAAAGCCCACCTACCTGCGTAACTAAATAACCAGTAGGATTACTCCATCTAAGAGGGGAGAGGTGTTAGATATTAGCTTTAGCTAGAATGGTTTCCACCAAGGTCCTCTGTTCCAGCGAGAACAGAGTTTAATCGCATTGATCGAAGGGTCTGACAGCTCCATATAAAAGGGCTGCTGTCAGACTCAACCTTCGCTGGATTGTACATAGTTGCTATTGAGTTAATAAAGAGCTGTTGTTACCGTTAGCCTATGTGTGCCTTTCCATTACCTGAACAAACACATTGGATATTATGTTGAAAGAAGCCTAAGATGCACTGAAGGACCTCCCCCAAAGTAGTTTGTAATCTATTCCAGTAAAAGTATTAACCCAAAATGAAACCAGCCGAAGGGGAAGTATTCAGAAAATATTTGTTTAGGAAGAATTTTAAAAAAAGAAATAAACACTTACTCCTTCCTCAATTTACCCTGCCATCTGGAGACTCTGTACCCTTTAAATTCAGTAATTTTAATTTTCAACCACAGAGATAGTTAAAAATACTGTACTTGAGAATTATTTATGTGCATAGCCTCAGTTCTAGAGGTGTAGATGGTTCTTGTCCTCAGTCCATGGGTCAGCAAAAATAGATACCCAAGTTATCCAATTGATGAACAGCTTTTAATTTGAAGTTGTAAAATATTTATTATTATTCTGCATAAACACACACACATAGACTGTAGACTGTATAGTAATTCTGTGATAAAATCTCTTCTATTTTTTTAACATTGTCTTTCAATTTGGTTTGTTTAACTTTTTTTAAATTGATGTAATATTTTTTGGTGACATTCATTTTGAGTAGAATGCCAGGATTTTGCAACTAATTAGGAGGAGGAAGTATTTGTTAATGTAGCTTGTCTCTTTTTGTAGATTTCTTCCTGTGTCCTCTTTGATCTTTTATGTTTGATCAATTCCATGGGAATGTTTCTGAAGGAAACATATGGGTTTTTCAGACCAAGAAATGTGGGAGATTTCAGAGCAATAGAGTGATGCGTAACAAGAATAAATCAAATCCTCTGCAACTTTGCAACATTAAAGTAAGCTCAAAATTCATCATGTGTTGTTGCTGTACATCCATGATTATGGAGGTTGAAGTGGGTGGACTTTAACTGTTGTGCTATAGTGACTATATATTGTGCTGTTGTGCTATAGTGACATCCTTAATAGGAATATTTTCACTTACATTGAGGAACATTCAGATCATTACATACATAATTTTAAGATCACTTTGTTCCACTTGATTTTCTTTATTTTCATGGGTAAAGTTTTATTTTTGCTTATTGCTCTATTGGCTCTGACATTAGATATACCTTTTAATGGTCGTGTATTGATTCCCTAGGGTGCTGGCCCTACATTTTTAAATATATGCAAATTATTACACTTTTCTTTCCTTATGCTATGCTTGATGAGTTTTGTTGCTTTTTATCAGTTTGTTCACAGAGTTGTCAGATAATTGATATTGTATGTATTGTAAAATTAAAAAGTCCATGTTTTAAGGTTAAGGCTTCACAAAAAATAAAGTCAGTCAGAACCCACCACCCATAATCCCATTTAATTAATGTATATGTCTATGTTGTGTGAATATGACAAATCTGTCATTTGATTACCTTTGAAATCATTATATGAGAACCAGTTAAGGCACCCAGCTAGAAACCAGGAACCCATGAGTTCTAGTTCCAACTTAGACACAAAATCAACTGATTTTCACAGGATGTGTTCAAGCAGAGCCTGGGCAGCCATCTGTCTCTCTCCCGCTTCTCAGTTCTAGTTCCAACTTAGACACAAAATCAACTGATTTTCACAGGATGTGTTCAAGCAGAGCCTGGGCAGCCATCTGTCTCTCTCCCGCTTCTCACTCTGCATTCTGCTTTATACATTAAGATATTTGGTAGGCCATTGCTACCTCTCCTCTGCTATACTGTAAAATTCATAAATAACATCTTATTTTCAATATTAAGCATTATCTTCAGGAGAATGAAATGTAGCTAACACGTTTGGGAAAGTATTGCTTTTTCATGTAGTGTTGGATTGCTAGCATTACCAAATTACTTATAAAAATAGATGAAGGCAGATGGGCTATTAAAATTCTCAGGGGATTTTTCTTTTATTTTACTGGTTGACATATTTTGCTAATTGTAACTATAATCCTGACTCTTCAGTCGCTAAAATACTTCTGGTTTTTGTCTGAAAACACTTCTTCCTTTCTAAATTTTCATCTTAAAAAATATTTTAAAAATAGAGGTTTCTTTCTCCTAAAAATATTAACTGGCTTTCTTAATTTGGTACTTGAAATTTGGCCTCTCTTATTGATGCCAACTTCTATTAAATGTGCATAACTCCCAGTAATTTAAAAAGCGTTATTTATTATTAACAATTATGCATTATTTTAGCTTGTGCAAGATAGGATATTATGTCTATGCAAAAAATTTAATGTAATCATATTTACTTTCAAATGATATGCAATTATTTGCTGAAGAATATTGTCATGTTGCATATTTTCTTTTTCCTTGTATATATCTGGAAATACTTCCAAAACCTGCAGGTAAATTTTTTGAGGAAGATGAAATACATATAGCTGGACTTTAGCACAAAATTGCTAACTGCTCATCTATTCTTCTTGAAAAGATAACATATAGCTTTTAATTAAAAAGGCATACCAGATTTTTGTTGCATTCACCTAAGGATTGATGCATTGTATTAGTTTGGGGAAGTGGTTAAAAATTATAAGAATTGTGGAAAAAATTGTACTAATTGCCTAATTTAGGACAAATCTGTTCTCTGATGTTCACATTTTTAAAAGCACATTTTCATTCTGTCCCATTTCAACTTCAGTTTGTAATTGTCTGCTCATAATTTTGCCTTTTTATACAGTAAATACATTTATAAAATATATCTATAGATTATTTTATTCTATATATATAAAAGCAAAATACCTCTCATGCATCATCACAAAATCTTCAGAACTGTAAAACCTACAAACTTGAAATTTAGCACGTATTTTACTCTTGGCATCTAGGTTGCTAAGAAAGGATTTTTCAAAATGACCACCAGATCATTAGTATTTCTTATATTATTATTAACATGCTTTGATGCTAAGCAGTTAGACGTTCTACTCCCCCTCCCCACCTGAAAAGAACTCTGTTCCAACTGCCACTTGGGCATGGGTATGGCCAGCGTGTGATTCATCAGGCCTGTGGGCTGGAAGTTTAGACATTCTATTCCCCCTCCCCACCTGAAAAATGCTCTGATGCTAAGGAGTTAGATAGGAGAGGATCAATGGGGCCAGCCTGAGAGGGAGAAGGGGAGAGAAGAGGCTGATAGTAACTACTCATTAATTTTCAAGCTGTAAGTGTTGATTTATCTAGCCCGATCACATAGTTTCTTAGCAGAGCATGGGTATCCAGCTAGTGTGTATTTGTATAATTCCTCCCACTCCATCCTACATCATCCTATCCATGTATACATTTTTATCTTATTTTTCGCTCTCCTCCACCCTACTGCAAATCTCTTAAGAATCATTTTAAAATAATGCTCATCAGTTATTAATATTGTCAGATCACCAGTTAATTTAGAAACTATGAATTTTTAATTTAAAATGAAATTAAACTGAGTAAGGCTGAAATAATTTTAAAAGGATACTCCAGGAGCACTCAGCCCATCTTAGGAAGATGTTTGGCATACAAATTTGATAAAATAAAAATAAAAAATAAGTTTCTAAGGAATAGTCCAAAGATACAGTCATAACTGCAGAATTCTAAGCAAACATAGTTTTCTATCATTCAGCAGCTCTTAGAATAAAAGAGCAATTGGTTTTTTAGAATGCTTAGTACATCAATGGTATATATGTCTGAGTTATATGCACCAGTATAGACAAACTGTTTGCTTGTATTCATATGCAAACAATTCACACTTCAGTGAATAAAGCTAAGCTAGGAAATTCTTGATTCAGAACAGATGTGCAGATGTGTACATGTACTTATAAACTTTTAAGGAAGGTGCACTTTTTGACTGTGTATGCAATAGAAGGATGGTGAATTATCTAAATTATTAACATAATTCTCAATAGATAATCATTTTAGCTCAAATGCTTTTTTCACATGAGTTAACTTAGGGTAAGACGAAAATTATTAGGGAAAAATTATTTTTGGATTTTCACTTTATTGGGAATTAATTTGATGATCCATAACATGTCAATAATTTTTAAATTTATTTCCAGTTCAATGGAATGTTGAAAAGAAAAAAACATAAAGGGCTTCATGAAACTTTCAACTAAATAAATATTTTAAAAAATTGAAGTAAATTACGTGGGCAAAGAAGTTGGCAGAAGAAACATTGAGATAAGAAGTGGGCCAAGGCTAGCCAATAATTTCAGTTAAAAACGAAATTTAGTAATATTTTCTCAGATGCTTTTCCTGAGGAGATAGAAGAGCTGAAGGAAACTTTATGTTATATATTTGAATATATAGTCTAGATACAGCCATTTGAATGATAAGCAAATGATGGAAAAATAATTCAACACACAAATGTTGCAATGTTGCATATTTTTCATCGACTTGACAAAAGTGGAATTCAGTGGGACACTTAAGAATGGAAAAGGTTGTCCTATCTCCTAACCTCCTGTCAGGTTATCCTTAAGTGCTGGAATCAGTTTTTGCTCTTATGTGGGTACTTGTTCTACTATTAGTCCCTTCCCTCTTTTGACCAAGAGTGAAGGTATTATTAAAGGGTTGGAAGGCATTTCAGAAGCCACAGAATCAGTAATGGTTTTCTCTTACCTTCGCTACCGGTTCAGAATGCACAGAGCATCCGTGATGACATCTGGGTGGTTGGGCGGAGCCTCCCACCACCATTGCGGTTTGCCCGAACAAGGGCAAACCAGCAGAATACCATCTCTGCACAGAATGCTTTCTCTTTCATGTTCATTTTCTGGCACTACATTGCTTACTCCTGTACCAGAGCTTTATGTTGGCAGTAAAAATATTGTTTCCTTTTGATTTTTATGATTGATTTGTTGATTATCTCTCATCTCATGATCGCATTGTATATATTTCCATCTCCTGGTTTCAATAAGATCATTGAGGTAGCATACAAAATAACATACATCCATACAAAAGTGTCATTAACTTGTTTTTTTTAAAACATCCTTCTAGGTGTAATATAGCCTCAAAAGCAGACAAGCAAAGAGAAGTAGTGGGAGAAAAATGGCAAGTTATGATGCTGTTAGCCACCTATCCTATTTTTTTGGCAACATCACACGTGAAGAAGCTGAAGATTATCTGTTGCAAGGAGGACTAAACAATGGACTGTACTTACTGCGACAGAGCCGAAACTATCTGGGTGGTTTTGCTTTGTCTCTGGCAAACAATGGAAAGGTTTATCATTATACCATTGAGAGGGAAATTAATGGCACTTATGCTATTACTGGAGGGAAATCCCACCGGAGTCCTGTGGAACTCATTGATTACCACTCAGATGAAGTCGATGGTCTCGTGTGTTTACTCAGGAAACCATGTAATCGGCCACCAGGAGTGGGACCAAAAACAAGCCAATTTGAGGACTTGAAGGAAAATCTAATCAAAGAATACGTTAAACAAACCTGGAATTTATATGTAAGAATTTTTTTTTTGTCCTTTTCTGTACATCTATGGAGATTCTCAGTCATGGCTGTCCCAAAGGTGCTTTTTCAAGAGGCAACTGGCATTTCTGGGTTTTCTTTGAAGATGTTTCGCTTCTCATCCAAGAAGTTTCTTTAGCTCTTGGAAGCTTCTTCTTCCTCAGAGCTGAAGAAGCTTCTTGGATGAGAAGTGAAACATCTTCAAAGAAAAAAACAGAAACACCAGTTGCCTCTTGAAAAAGCACCTTTGGAATTCCTTTTCTGTAGTTTTTCCTCTTTTGCTTTTGGGAGGATAGTGGCTATAGTTGGTCAAGTAGCCAAGACCATGTCATATATGTGGACAAAGCTAGGATTTCCAATTTTTCTTCAGTTTTGGAATGGAAATTGAAGTTGGTTCCTATACTGTATTTGTTCAGTATAGACATTCTCAAGTTAAAATCATCCATTTAGCAACCTTTCAAAGTTACAACAGCACTGAAAAAAAGTGACATGACCAGTCCTCACAGTAATGACTGTCACAGTATCCCATAATCACATGATCAAAATCCGGACACTTGACAACCAGCATATATTTATGACAATTACAGCATTCCAAGGTCATGTACCGTAATAATCATTTGTGACATTCCTACCCAACTTCTGACAAGCAAGTCATTGATGGACACTGGAGTATTTTAATGATTAAAACCACAACTTGCAATAGCATGCTTGTTGTACTCCCTAATTAACATACTACCATTGCTGGGTGGGATATTTTTTCTTTTAATTTCAGAATGGATTTCAGAATACCTGGAATGTTCCAGTTATACATATATGTAATTCAATTTGTCATTTTGGAAGCATTGACCATGTTATTTCTAGGCAACATTTTTTCATATATTTTTCACTTTCAGCTATATTGTATTATTTTCCATGTTTCAAATTTGTTCTCATAAAAACATTCCTGTTGGAGCCGACTAAGATCCATCTTAGTCTAGCAAGATGGAGCCATACTCCTGTCTTACTGGTGTTTCTGTGCAGCTGGTATTTGGGACATGCTAAAATTTGTAACCCTTGTTAGACTCTAATCTTCAGGATGTGCTAGAACATCTTCTGATAATACAGTGTGCTTTGGATGTCCCAATTTCTATCCTGGGAAAGTCAGTACAGGTTCAGGTATCAGTCCAACAAGTAGTTCTCAACTTATGACCCCAGTGGGGACCAGAACATTCATCGCTAAGTGATGCAGTTCTTAAGTAAGTCACACCCAATTTTAGAACTTTTTTTGCTGCAGTCTTTAACTGTATCACCACAGTTGTTAAGTGAATCCAAATTCTCCCATTGACTTTGCTTGTTGGATGCCCCCTATGAAGGTTGCAAATGGCGATCATGTGACAATGGGAAATTGCAACTTTCATAAATATATGTCAGTTGCCAAGTGCCCGAATTTTAATCATGCAATTACAGAGGTGCTGCAATGTGATAAATATGAGGACTGGCTGTAATTCAGTTTTTTTCAGCCCATCATAACTTTAAATGATCAATAAATGAATGGTTGTAAATCAAAGAGTATATATCTTCTACAACAGAGTTGTCAAACTTGTGGCATCACATCACCATGTGACTTCCCCCCCCCTTTGCTAAACCAGGGGTGGGTGTTGCCAGCCCAGGACACATCTGGCCCTTGGGCCACGAGTTTGACACCCTTGTTCTACAGCAAAGGCAGGTACAAAGTATTAATTTAGTTTTTCTGCAAACTCATATTCTCTAGCATTTATTTCATTGTTTTGCCACCATTGTTTAGGTGATTACCTAAACTGGTAAAGTTGGCTGATATGCAACTTTAAATATGAATTTCAAAATTCTTGTTTAATGATTTTGTAATTCATTTCTCAGTTATTTTAAATTTTATTTGTATTATTTATTATCACTTTACACCATCTCTGTCAGGGTTTATAATATCACAATCATTTCACAGTGCTGCTTGTGCAGGCAGAAGTTAGAAAACACCACTTTTATTAAGGGACAAGAAAAAAAATGGACAGACTGCCCTTGCAGTGAGCCAATGATGGTTGAGAGCAATATCATATTTTCAACTCCTCAGAGAAGGATTAGTGAGCTAAATTTCTCTCAGGGCAAGCCAGACATTCAGATGATCTCTAAAAGTTATGCTAAAAGTTCTACACTCGGAATGTTTATACTTTAAAATCTTAGTAAATTGCTCTGTTTATGTCAAAACCATTTCTACATCAACTTCCCTAATTAACTATATTGTATTCTTACATTCTTTGCCCTCCTGTCAACTATAAAGGGACATGCCCTTGAGCAAGCAATTATTAGTCAGAAACCACAACTGGAGAAACTGATTGCTACAACTGCACACTTGAAAATGCCCTGGTTCCATGGGATGATATCTCGGGGGGATTCAGAGCAACGCCTACTTCTGGGTACAAAGACCAATGGGAAATTTTTGTAAGTATACATTTTTTCCTACATGTTCCATGACAATGCTAAAAAAACAGAAGAAGAGTAGGAAAAATAATCAAAACAATGTTTTTAACCATTCCAACATTTCTTTTTAATGTCAGTCATTGCAGTTCCAATGTTTACTTAAAACAGCATTCATGATTTCTTTACAGTGGCATGATCAGCTCTTTACAGTATAAAGAATGTCATGTCCACTGATTGTGGAGCTGAATTTTTTTTTTCATACACTATCACCGTCTCTAAAAATAAAATGGACAAATTAAGGGTAGGTGGTGGTTATAATCTCTGTAGCTAAATAGAAGGTCCATATTTAAGTTAGTTCATAGTTCATTGGTCATTTAAGTCAGAACCTGGATGAATAACTAGAGAACTAGTTCATGTTCTCCTTTTGTGCATCCAGAGGATTGGTTTGAAAAAGTAGATCCTGAAATAAGTAGACTATGGCCTGCCTTTATTTTTGCATGAAAATTTTGCATTCTTCATTCTGTTCAATGGAAGAAAACATTGTGACATCAAAACTCTTAACAATATTATTTATTGCTGTTAAGAGAAATAAAAATAATAATATTTCTCCCTCTGTCACTCATTTTACATTGAAAGATATTGAATTTCACAGATATTTCCATATTCTTTTCTCTAAAACTATAGTTAGTTTGCTATGCTTTCTGACCATGTTTATACCATTTATACAATTTTTCAAAGTAGGTATTGTCCCATACGTTATGATGTACTCTTTAATCTTCTTGCGTTCTGCAGTATTATTTTTAGATTAGCATTACATACTTTGACATACTCATATCTAAAAGCATTGTCTTTCTTTTTGCTGCACTGTTTACAAAGTTACTCTAAGCTTGACCTAAGAAAAGTCCTTCTGTGACTAGAATTCTACATTGTTGCTGAAAACTCTTGAAGTCCACAGACATAGAAGCTACCCAGGTTGAAGAAAACGAAAATAGAACCGTTTTCAGGAAAAGAAGAATGAAGACTTGACCCAAAATGCTATAGCACGATCTCCCTTATCAATTATTACCAGTATTCCGGCTTGAAAGAAAAAATAATAAATTACCTAATAACCCTGAAACAAATCTTACTTGCTGAGGATAATCAAGGGAAAAGTTACAGTTCATAGGTTTCATCTACCATTTAGATTGCAGATTGCAGTAGCCCCAAGAGATAGGCAAATACCTACTGTGATCTTAATAAAAGATCTCTAATAATTTACTAAACAAGTAACAGACCAATATAATAAATCAGATGAGCTGCATAATATGTGGTTTTATTACAAAACTCTTTTCTAGTATCCTGAAAACCAAACCTCAATTGTGTGAAAGTCTAAATTGTGTAAATACAGAAAAATGCTGTAATTTGCAGATAAAAATATTGTGATCTATTTGTATTTCCTGTCTTTTTTATGAGAACTAATCTATTAATAGGTCAATCAAAAAATACACAGAATGATAATAAATCAGGAACTGGAATATATCAGTCATTCATGGAAGCTTGGAAACAATGTATTAAGATCACATGTTATTTTTTTTACAGATTGTGATCACAGAATGAATATAAATCCGTAGGGTTTTTTTTTTTAAGTAGCCTTCATTTTTCCTTATTTTACAACTTTTAGAACTTTTAACCTTCTCAGAACATGTTTTGGTAATAAGTAAAAATGAATAAGTAAATAAGTAATAAGTAAAAATGAATAAGTAAATAAGTAATAAGTAAAAATGAATAAGTAAAAATGAAACCAATTTGGATGGTAGTCCTCCTTATTTGGCGTCATTCGGGTATATTAAAGTGCAATTTTTTCCCAAAGCATTTAGAAGGCATTAGATCGAGGTACAGTGGATTGCTATAAAACTTCATGGTGTTACAGTCAGGATAAGACACTTTGTAGATATTAATATCTTTTCTTACGGATATTGTAAAGCTAAATAGATTCATCTTGATAGATATATTCCCTACTGTTTGCCACTTACTCTCTTGTAATCCCTTCTTTTCCAATCTCTCCATTCTGCAAGATGGGGAGAGAGGAACAGATCAGATATGGGAGAGATTGCCTAGAGAAATTATTTGTTATTTTTCCTATTTTATTTTCCCACTCCAAAATAAAACTTTTCATGGTTTCAGTATCTACAAATGAGCAATATAGTCTAGTCATGGAAGACAAACATCAAATTTACTATAAATCATAATACACTAAGAGAAAAATGATATTTTTTATATTAGTTGTGATTTCTAAAATAGGCATACATATTCAGAAAAAATTTGAAAATGTTGGAATGTTTTATTATATCTGGTGGTCAATTTTTGTGGGAAATGATCAACTGCAGGATGAACCAAATTATAAATACTGACTTTTGTTTGCTACCAGTTATTTTCCTGTTAGGTATTGCTAAATTTTACATAAACATATAAAATAGATTGAACTGTCTTTATATATGATATTTGCTGCCAGGATATTTTGTAAATCACATTTCATTCTGTTGATAGCTTGCTGCCATATCTGAGATTTGGGTTCTCTTAAAATAAGTGTTCTTTAAAGCAAGATGAGGGACGTGGTGGCTCAGTGGCTAAGACACTGAGCTTGTCAATCAGAAAGGTTGGCAGTTTGGCGGTTCGAATCCCTAGTGCTGCGTAATGGAGTGAGCTTCTGTTACTTGTCCCAGCTTCTGCCAACCTAGCAATTCGAAAGCATGTAAAAATGCAAGTAGAAAAATAGGAACCACCTTTGGTGGGAAGGGAACAGTATTCCATGCGCCTTCGGCGTTTAGTCATGCCAGCCACATGACCACGGAGATGTCTTTAGACAGCGCTGACTCTTCAGCTTTGAAACAGAGATGAGCGCTGCCCCCTAGAGTCTAATCCTTTACCTTAAACCGATGGTTTATTTTTAGTAGGTAGATCTTTAAAATTTATTTTAAATTATTTTTAATAATAGTTAAACATGCTAAACATGCATTAAACTGCTAAAGTATTAAAATGTCATGAAACTATCTTTATAATTGTTTTGATCCAATTATAAATGGCTATATAAGGATAACATTTGAGATGTTTCTTTTAGTGGAATAAGTTCTGCTTTAATTTTAATTTTATTTTAACATTATTCTGCAAACTTTTCCGTGTAATTTGCAATTTCTATTTTTTTTCTCCTTTTCCTTTTAAAATAAACTATTCATTCTTTTTTTAAAAAAAAACCTCAGTCTGAACCACATAATAATCATCCTTGTTTACCTACCGATGGCTGGAGCAGTTGTAGTTTGGGCAATGTGTTCCAACATGTTTTCCCATGAATATTAAGTTAGATTTTCATAGCCCTTCTCTTTAAATAGAAATTATTACTTTTTAAATTATTGTTGTATTGTAAGCCACCCGGAGTCCTTCAGGATCGGGCGGCATATAAATGTTATTAAAACTTAAAACTTAAAAAAAAACTTAAATAGATTATAATTTACCTTATTATTATTTTACTTTTTAGGATTAGGGAAAGAGATAACAGTGGATCCTATGCACTTTGTTTACTCAATGAAGGCAAGGTAGCACATTATCGCATAGATAAAGACAAGAAAGGAAAACTTTCAATACCAGATGGAAAGAAATTTGATACTTTATGTCAGGTATGTTGACTGGTATTCACTTAACTATTTTACTTGTTTGCTCGTTATATACATATTTATGTTGCTGTAAGTGTCCACAGTTTTAAACAATTTCTGTAATTATTTACATACTTAGATTTATTTAAGCCTTATATGTGTGTGTTGTGCAGTTGTGTGTATAAAATATGCCATGTTTAATATTGATTACATTAACCTATCAAATTAGGATAATCCAGCAAGTTTTGTGGCAGAGCAAATTCAGAAAGATATTTGTGATAATAGATCTATTACAGAGCTATTATATTTAGATCTATAATGTATCTATTATATTTAGATCTTCATTTATACCTACATTTATACCTACATGAAAATAGCTATTGAAAAAAATCTAGAAATTCTTTTCAGAATATTTCAAATATTTTAGGTATCTTGAGTGAGATTCTCAAAATGTCTCAAAAGGGAGACTACCTTGGGAAATCGTAATCTTGGAAAAGAGGCAAACTATTGTAATAAACAGATAATTATTTTTCAAAAAAAAATATTTGAAAAATTAGACACGACTACACACAAAACCATGCATAGAAGGAAAAAAACAAAACAAACATATATTTAAATTGTCATCCCTAGTAGAATGCTGATAAATATATTTGAAAGGTAATAATTCTTGCCTTTATCTATTTTTAAGTATTTTAATGGTTGTGACATTATTTTAATTGTTGGTTGAACTTCACTCATTCAATGAGATGGACATCCCTATCTTATACCCCCTATGTAACATTGTAGAGCAGGGGTGTCAAACTCAATTTCATTGAGGGCCACATCAGGATTGTGTTTGACCTTGGAGGGCCAGAGGTAGGCTTGGCCATGAGTGGGCATGGCCATGCTAGGCGTGGCCAGCTCAATATCACTCATGTCAGGACACCTGTAGTGGCCAAGTGCTAAGGTAAGACTTCCCTGAGACCCTACCTCACGCTCATTATAGTCTCTCTCTCTTCCTTCCTTCCTTTTCTTTTTCTTCCTTCTTCCCTCTCCTTTCTTCTTCCTTCCCCTCTTTCTTTATTTTTCCTTCCTTGCTCTCTTCCCATCTTTTTCTTTCCTCTTTCCCTTTTTCCTTTCTGTCCCTTCTTGCATGCTCAAATGCAAAAGGGGAAACATTTCTCCTTTTGTTTTGGTTTTAGTTTGTTTTGATAGTCCTCTGCCAGCAAAAATGTAGTCGGGGGGGGGGCATGTGCGCTTCACGCACCCCATTTTTGGCCACAACAATCTCCTGCGGTCCTCTGCCAGCAAAAACGGAGCTCCATTTTCATTGGCAGAGGCACTGTAAAATGGTCCTTTGCTGTTTCTAGGCCAGCCCCGCAGGCCAGATCTAAGTACTCCGTGGGGGCTTTGAGTTTGACAACCCTGTTGTAGTATGAATTCCTTTTAGTTTGTATACTAAAACTTTACTCCTATTTCTTTTTGATGGAAAAGGACAGTTAAAATTGTTAAAATAAATAAATTGTGCATTGTGACATCACAACACAAACTATGTAGCTTACATACTTGTGCCTAATTTCAGGAAACATTTGAAAAGTGAGGATTTGTATTCCGACATGATGGACTATTAATCAGTTTTGCATCAACAAAAGTTGTACTGGATTTTTATGAATAATTTTAGAAGTGAGATGAACTATTAATTTTACTGTATTTTGACTGTATGAAAATGAGAATCCTTAATACAGATTTCTCAAATTTTATTTATGACTTTTAATGTTATTCATATACTAATTAAAAAAATCTCTCATACCACCTATATAACATATTTGAATGAATTCCTTTTAGTTTTATACTAAAACTTTACTCATATTTCTTGTTGATGGAAAAGGATAGTTAAAAAGAGAGAGGCAATTACTTCTAATTGTGCCATAAATGTTGTACAAGTAGTCCTCAACTTATGATCACAACTGAGCCCAAAATTTATGTTGCTAAGTGACAAATTTGTTAAGTGAATTTTGCCCCTAGTTTACGACTTTTCTTGCCACCTTTGTTAACTGAATCACTGCAGTTGCTAAATTAGTAACATGGCTGTTAAGTGAATCAGGTTTCCTCACTGACTTGGCTTATCAGACGGTCGCAAAAAGAGGATCACATGACCCAGAACACTGCAACGGTCATAAATGTGAGTCAGTTGTAAAAGCAGCTGAATGTAAATCACATGAGCATGGGGATGCTGCAACAGTCAGAAGTGTGAAAAATGGTCGTAAGTCATTTTTTTTCAATGTTGTTGTAACTTTGAATGGTCACTAAAGGAACTGTTGTAAGTTGAGGACTACCTGTACTATTATTCTGTCTGCAGAAAACTGGGTTAAAAGAGTAGTAAACAAGCCAAATTGTTACTTTCTCTGGGTGGTTTGTTTTTAAATACATAGTTCTTTAATGAGATCAGAAGTTTATTTTGATCAAACATGAAAAATGTACAGCAGTTGGGTCCATACAATCTAATTTTCTAATGCTTATATACTTATATTCTTTTCCCATATGAGATAGTTTGCATATTAGCAAATGAATATGATGTTGCCTCATCATATTTCTAATCTTGGGGTGTACAAGTTTAATGTCTACAGAAATCTATTCAACTCAATGGTTGGAGGAAAAGAGAGACGTATATGTAGCTCAGCAAGGCTATTTAAGTTTTATTATGAGTGTAAATCTCACATACTTTAGAAGAAAACAATCTGATTATCACATAGTTATCAAAACAAGATTGTGGAAATTGGACCTCCTGCTCCAAGAAGAAGCCAAAAAGAATGAACAATATAACATAATACAAAAAAATGGAATAGTTATTCTATAAACGGCCCTTGTACTTGAAATGCTGCAATTTTTTTCATGATAGCTTTCTAATTTTAATAAAATTACTTATCAGAAGTTCTCACCTTCTTATAAAATTGCCAAGTTATTTCCAGTCCTGCTTGTTCCTGCTTGTTATTTATGTGCAGTATTAAGTAGAAATTATAATCCAAAATTTTAGTTGTGGGCTGAAACAAAACATTTAATAGCTTGTACATGCATTTGTTTTTGTTTAATTGCTGCTACTGGTATTTCATTTTATCCAAATGACAGCTAGTGGAACATTATTCCTATAAAGCAGATGGACTTCTAAGAATAATCACAGAACCCGTTAAAGATCCAGATTTTCAATCAAGAAATAGTAAGTGGCTTATATTTTTAAAATATGGAAGTCAAATCCATACACTGTGTGCGTTACTAACATCTGATTGTGTCAAGAAGATGAAAAAAATTCCTAGTAGTGAAATTTAAAGTAGCCTAACAGTGTCATTATTGGCATTATTAACTTAATTTTTCTGAAATACAGTTTCTTAAAAAAAACCATAGTAAGTATCTCTTGCAGGGGTGTCAAACTATTGCAGAATTTCATTGAGAGCCGCATCAGGGCTGTGGTTGACCTCGCGGGGTGCATGCGTAGCTGACTGGGTGGATGTGGCTGACTGGGTTGGTGTGACCAGCTTGACACCGCTCATTGGGTAGGCATGGACAACTGAGTGGGTGTGGCCAGCTTGACCTCATTCACAGCTCATGGCCAATTGGATAGGCGTGACCAACTGGGTGAGTGTGACTAGCTTGACGCCGCTCACTGGGCATGGCTGACTTGGGATGGCTGGGTCAGGACAGAACAAGTCATACCAGGTAACTTGATGTGGGGACAATTTGGCACCCCACAAGTTCCTTGCCTTCCCAAATTGCTAGCAGCCAAGTGCTTGTGCACACACACATACATTCCAAGTTTGGGGACCTTCATCAACATAGGAAGGAAAGGACCTCCCTAAGCCCAGGCATGATTGACAGTTTATAAGCTCAGATGTGGATAAAAGTCTCCAAGCTTGGAATGATGTGTGTGTGTATGCGCGCATGCACACGTGTGTATGCACAGCACGCCAACGGAAATGTTCTTCTCCCAATCCCAGACATTATTGACATTTCCCTGTCTAGTGTACTCTCCCAGCAAAAGAGGAGTCGGAGGATGGTTCTGTTGTGTGTGGAAACATGGAGGATAAACTTTTCAGGAGGCAGTTTCCTCTGAGTCCAACTTCTGCCATGATAGATCTCTGGACAGCAAGAGGCAGCGGCAGGGGAACAGTGCTCCCTGGTCCTGCATGAGGGAGGCTGGCCCTTCCCAAAAGGGAAATCCTGTTTCCAATTTTGTGTAGTAAGGATGCTAGCTTGTTGGGGCAGCCTTCCCTCATGCTGCTTTCCCACCACCCTTCCTCCTCTCCAGAGATCTCTCAGGATAGAGTGGAGGTATGCATCAGTGAGAACCATTCACTGTACGGAGAAAAATTGCTGACACAGGTATGTAGTTTCAAATATGCATAGCATTCGAGCAGCTTTTAGGTGGAGTTGAGAAATCATTTCAGGGATGAACCTGGTGAATTGTGGATAGAGGAAAAAATAAGCAATCCACCATCACTCCAAAGCTGGTCTAACAGCCACAAAGCTACTTAATATCTCTAGTTAAGCTATCTCCATTTCTGATCAGGTTCTGATATTTTCAGAGCTGCCTTTCAGTGTCTCCAATTGTAGGGGGGGGAACCAAGACACAATCCAGCTTTCCCAAATAAGAAACAAGGAACCACGGTTTCCCATCTTTTCCCAACAACTCTCCAATATCCAAGAATCCAAATATCCATCCAAAATTTAGCTTTCTTAGGCTTTTTCAGGCAGTGCTAGTTAATCCCTCACAGCCTTGTGGATCTGTCTTTTTGTGGGGGACCCAAAGCAATCCATCCATTGACTTCCAGACATTTTCCACAAAGCCTTGGAGCATGGTATGCTTTGGGGGCCCAGGGGATGGGGGCTCATGGAAGAGGATCAGAGGTGGGTTCCAATGGGTTCAGACTGGTTCAGCCGAGTAGATAGTAACTTGGCCGCCAATACACCCAAACTGGTTCTATTGTCAGCGCCATCTTGATTTTTGGTTCTGCTCATGCATGGAACAAACTCCATTGCAGAAATGTAATTTTTTCCCCTTTTCTAACGTTCTGCACATGCACAGATCTTTTTTGATATAAATGTGCATGCACGCAAAGCACACATTCGGCATGCACACAAAATTCTTTTTGCACTGAACCGGCAGTAATGGCGGTAGCAACCCACCCCTGGAAAGGATGCCAATCAGGTGTTGGGTGCCAGTGGTTTAACATGTGTGGTGTGCCAATAAAGGGTTTTGAGCATCTGGGCAGTGTCTCATGTGTCACCCACATTTTCCCCAAGTGATATCAGGGTACCTCATCACCTTTGAGTGATATCCTCCACTTTAAGTACCTTTAAAATGGTAGGCAAATTCATAATGGATAATAGAGTTTGGCATGAAGGTACTATCTGGATCAGAATACATATTGTAGTAACTTTTATTTCTGTTACAAGGTCTATTGCTGTATTTTATGTGTAATATAAAATTATGATACATACAATTCAAATCGCATTGTTCTTTACCACAATGGTGTATTGCATCTAATTTTGTAAATTAAAATCTAACAGGCCTAAAAATTTCAACACACTAAATATCATGTAATACTTGACTAAAAACTGTAATACCCTTACAATTTCCAGGATGGCCCCGCAGGTCGGATCCAACCACTTCGCAGGCTGGATCCAACCTGCGGGCCTTGAGTGTGACACCCCTGATCTATTACATTAATTAGAGAAACATACTTTTCTCTCAGTTTGGAGTGGTAAGATATGGTGGAGGACTGTATGAGGGTGGACAGACATTTATGTAGCAATATGTGATCCATTCCATCTCCAAAATGAAATTGGATCAGATATGAATGGCATATTCTTGGAAACGAGGAGTGTGCAAATATTTTAAAGAATTTTTTGCCTAGCACATTGCACAAATGAAGTGTGACTCCCATAAACATTGTTGTTAAAGGGACTTTAGCACAGGTGGGTTCTTACCTGTTCGCACCTATTTGGTAGAACCGGTTCGTCAAATCTACCGAACAGGTTAGAAGAGGTTCCACCAGTGGACCCGTAAAGCAGGCCATACCTACAGAAGAGGTTCCAAAAATTTTTGAAACCCACCAATGGACGTTAGCTAACTTGGCTGCTTTCAGTTTGTAGATCCATGTCACTAAAACCAAACTTCCACTGCGAGTGCTGGTAAAACAGAGCTTCACTATCATACGAAACTACATTTTTCTTGATTTATAATAATCTGTAGTTAGTTTACACATCGGGAAAATCTGACATGATAAGGGTTCTATCCACCTGGAGCCAATTTTGGGGAGAGTTAGCACATTTTGCTCCCAATTTGATCTTTTGCTGATGATGAACTAGTAATGAGGCTCTTCTACTTTCCAGCCTGTTGAAAAACCCTCTAGTAAATTGCAAAAGTACAAGATCATCTTGAGCAGTAGACAAAAGTTTATACATAAACTTTTCTATTCCAGAAAAATCTGTTCCAGGATCAATTCACATGTGCTCATTTGTTTACTTTCATTTTTTTTTAAAATGGGAACTGAATTTGTCTTTGTATGGAGATAAAGCCTATCTTTGCTCCTTGATGCTGATCTTAATAATAAGTCACAACTGATATTTTTAGAGTAATTGATATATCTTTTTACCTTAGATTCCTTACCCCCAAAAGTTTCTAAGCCTCGCAACTCCACGGTAAGAAAATATACTGATGAAAACGAGTAATATTTTAAATAATACAAAGTGGCAATATTTCAGTGTTTTGTATGGTTTATGTATTTGTTCTTGCTGAATAGTGAATTAAAATAAGTTTCAAGAATAAGTTGCAAATTACCTTTTTATGCATTTTCATAAATATGCTTGCTGTTGTTTTTAAATTTTACATAATATTAATTTGTTAAAAAGCAACTATAGCACCAGTGACTACTGAATATTCATATATGGGTTTTTATGTGGTACAAATAAAATATTAGCTATCATTTTTCAAATTTTGAAACACTAATTCTGTTTTCAGAATAGCTAAAGAAATAAGTAGTTTTAAATTAATTTGTTTGCTCTGTAAGCAAGTGCATATAAGATTTGAATGCATTAGAAACAGAAAGTATAATTGAAGAACATGAAATAAAATAATGAGAATAAATACTGTATGTGACAAAGTTGCAGAGATTCATATAAAATATTTGAATAAGTAGAGAAAATAATAAGCACACTCCGATAAGGCTCTTGGTCCCAAACATTAAACATTATTGGAAATTTCTGCCCTAGTTTGTGAGACTGGATTTTATCCTTTCCATTCACTTCATGCTAGAACAAGCATGTAAGTGAAAGTGATTGTTTTAAACTTGTTTGCACTAGTTAAAATACTTTTATCTCTTCTTATGTTAGACATAATCTATTAATTGTGATAAGCCTATAATGTGACCAGTTGATAGAGCTGATCATTGTGCCTTATAAATTGGTGCTTTATGCTTATCTGCAAACATGTTTAAACAAACTAGGCCTTAAATTTCAGTATAGATGGCTACTTGTGGTAGCTTTGTGAAGCAGTTACCCAAGAGCCTATATCTGGAAATGAATTAATATGTATCGTAAATTCCTCTAGAACAGTGGTTCTCAACCTGTGGGTCACAACCCTTTGGTGGTCGAACGACCTTTTCACAGGGGTCACTAAGACCATCGGAACTCTAAGCTTTAAACTCCACCTCGCGTTCTTCGAAACCCCCCGTGGATGGGCTCCAGAGTCATCACCAGCTGCGCAGAGCATCACTGCGGCTCCACGCCGTAGAAAACATGGGTGCACATGTACACCCTGTACAATTACAGCCTTGGACACTTCGTAATGGCGGGAAAGTGTTCTCACTCTGACAAAGCGCTGCCTTGTCTTTCACAGCCACCCCAATTGGGGGAGAAGAAATCCTCTGCATGGATCCCCCCAATTGGAAACGGGGCAGCTGTGAAAGATGTGTGGGGTCCGGAGCCCATCTGTGCTGCCGAGAATGGGGTGCTGGGAGTTGGGCTGCGCGCGGAGCCGCCAGCAGCCAGGGCGCTCTGAAGCAGCACCAGCCAGCATGTCCTGCAAGAAAAGCCCCAGAGGCAAGGGCAGCAGTGGTGCGTCATCCTCTGTCCTGCCCATCACCCAGCAACGCGCTGCCGCCACCGCTTTATCGGGCGAGCTGGACTGGGGGTGGGGGCAGCCTTGTTTCCAATTGGGGTGAAGAAATCCTCTGCATGGATCCCCCCCAATTGGAAACGAGACGGCTGTGAAAGGTGTGTGGGGTCTGGAGCCCATACGCGGGGAGAGGGGTCCCCCTCACATTCCTCGTCTTCCCAGATGGGCTCCGGAGTCATCGCCAGCTGCGCAGAGCCTCGCTGTGGCTCCACACCATTGAAAACATAGGCACGTGGCTTGCACACACCCAGTAAATTACAGCCTCGTAGACTTTCCCCCAGGGAAAAACACCACTGTCAGGTACTTTTAACCTGTGATTAAAGGTGACCACAATATGTGTGTCTGTGTGTGAGAGTGAGAGAGACAGACAGACACACACACACACACACACACACACACAGAGTGACAAAGATGGGGGAGGGAGGGGAGAGACACAGAGACAGACAGACAAACAGACAGAGGCACACAGAGAGAGAGACAAACAGAGAGAGACACACACAGAGAAAATGAGTGAGAGACAGACACATACACACACAGAGTGACAGATGGTGGAGGGAGGAGAGAGATACAGAGAGAATGACAGAGGGGGAGAGAGACAAAAAGCCACAGACAGACAGACACAGAGAGAGAGAAAGAGAAAGATATATTCTCTTAATATATAGATATATTAAGAAATATTTCACAATATATAATTACATATTGTTTTTGTGATTAATCACTATGCTTTAATTATGTACAATTTATAACAATACAAATACATCCTGCATATCAGATATTTACATTACGGTTCATAACAGTAGCAAAATTACAGTTATAGAGTAGCAACGAAAATCATTTTATGGTTGGGGCTCATCACAACATGAGGAACTGTATTAAAGGGTTGCAGCATTAGGAAGGTTGAGAACCAATGCTCTAGAAAGAATCTCCAAAAACTTTGGTTTCACAGAAGCTATTTATAATTATATTTCCATAAATATATTAATTAGACCAAAATGATAAAACATTTTCTTAATGGATTGCATGAGGATGGTGTATGTTATCAATAAATTAAATTCCATTTCCAATATTCAAATATACATAAAATAAATTATACCATTGGGGGAAATAAATAAAAAATTGAAGTTTTCCAACCAACAAAATTTCTTAATATCTCCTATATTATTGCTAAATATATAATCATAAGGCTGCATGTCCCAGTTATGACCTTTAAAACTAATAACAGAGCAAGCTGACTATAAAGCCAAAAGTTCTAATTGAAAATACCATGACCTGACAATTGCGCGATAGACATATGCACACTGACAAAATAGCGCCAATTAAAACGTGACGTCAAAATCGCGATGACAAAAGCGCAATGACAAGCACAATAAAATCGAAAAAATTACTGTTAGGGTTAGGCTTATAGTTTATCTATAGTTTGTTGATGACGCGATTTTGTCGGCGCGCATTTGTCGGCGCGCTATTGTCAAAAATCAATTAGCAATTTTGACGGCGCTCATTTGTCCGTCGCGGTTTTGTTGGCATGCATATGTCTATCACACATTTATCAGTGAACCAAAAATACAACTATTGTCATGAAATCCAGAATTGTTTCTACTTATAATAGATCATTGTAATCAATAAACCTGCAAATGAATAATTTAAGATCTATTGATTTTAGTGGATTTCTTTTAAAATAAAAGAATTTAGTTTGAATTTAGCCAGTGTTTTGATGGAAGCAAACATCCACTTAACTTTAAAAAACATTGATTATAATGTACATCATAAAATATGCTATACTTAGAACAGATCTATTGTAAATGACGGAAAAAAATAGATATGGATTTTTTTTCATATTTTCTTCATACATTTATTTATTCTTTTGATATCTTTTATGGTTTCTAGACTTGGTCAACAGGTGGAATTATCACCAGAATCAAATCATACACTTTCCCAAAGCCAGGAAGCCAAAAGGTGCAATTAAACAGAGTTTTGTTAAATCCTACCATAAATTTAAAAATTACCTTCATTTTGCTGACTTAAAAACCTTTTTGTAGTTTATTCTGCTTCTTGTTGCTAATCTCCTCTGAGCATCTAGCACCTTTCTTCAGCTTTTACTTCTTAATTTATATAATTAACCCATGGCTATTTTATACTTGGGCATGCATTTTCTTTGTTTTGAAATACAACAATTATTTGTTTTATAATAATTATATTGGTTAGAAAGAAAATAAATATTTTACAAGCAGGTCTAATTTCTGAAACAGCAGGCAGCCTAAGTTTACTGGGCTCCCATTGCAATGCATTGTCCTTCTCTGAATAGTAATTTTAGCTTGACTGGAGTGAGTGTGAGTGCAGGGCTTAATAGACCAACTCCCTTAGAGATGCCCAAGAAGAGAACATCTCAACCACTTAGAGAGGCCAAAAAAAAAAAAAAGAACAAAGAAGAGATTGGATAAAAGCGTTGTGATCTTGGCTAGGTTGCTTGGGTGGCCATCGGGAGTAGAAACAGTGGCAGAGAAGATCATTGAATAAGTGCTCAAACCTAAGCTACCAGTCAGATAGGCTGCATCCTCCAGATTCAGTAGGAGAAATGCAACTTCCTTCAAAGCTATTTGTGGCTCCACCAGGAGATCATGACCCAGACTTTATGAATCCCTTGCCTACATAGTTCAAAGCATTACACTTATGTCTGCTACTTACCTCTCAAACTATAACTGTGTTGGTGCTCTTGAGTGTTTTGATTGCCATTTTGTAATCGCTTTCAAGGCCTTCCAGCTTCCTAGTCCAATGCAAATTCCTATATGATATACAATAAACAAAATGGTTCATGGATCTCATTGTGCTATGGAAACTCTTATAATAGAAAAGATTTAGAAATATTTTATTAGAATATTAACTATGTTGATGATACCGGTAAATATTGTATTTATTCACAGCCTACTATGAGAAATGAGTTTTAGGCATGTACATAAATGTTATATGTAAAGGAGAGGCCTGCTTTATAAAACAGATTTATAAATGCTTGTTTCTTTTTCCATCACATGGGTCATACTCACCTCTTCATAACTAAATCAGGGAAAGTTAATTAATTTTGCCTCTCTTCTTAATTGTGTTACAGTCTCATCCGAATGAGTTTCATATTTAAATGTAATTCTCCAATGTTATCAATCAGTTTAGTTCTGTCTTTAGCAATGGGGAATTGAGAGTGTTGAAACTGAGGAAACTAAATTAAATAATAACATTGGAGAATTACTTTGTGCTTTGGAGAAGACAGGAACATTAAGTGATCAGTTATCTTACCTATCTCTGTTTTTTTCTGTTTCATTCAAAGTAGGGCTCTTACACTTTTCTAACACAGGGGTGTCAAAATTGATTTCATTAAGGGCTACATCAGGGCTGTGTTTGACCTTGGGGGGCTGGGAGGTTGTGACCAGGGGGCATGGCCAGCTTGATGTCACTCATGTCAGGGGCAACTGTGGTGGCCCGAGCACTGTGCCAGCGAAAATGGAGCTCAGGAAGGCCATGCACAGCCCTCCTGAGCTCCATTTTTGCTAGCCGAGGGCTGCAGGAGACAGTCACAGCTGAAAACGGAGTTGGCCCTCCAAAGCTCTGTTTTCACTGGCAGAAGCACTACAGGCTGGTCCTTCACTGTTTCTAGGGTGGCCCCACAGGCCAGATCTAAATACCCCTGTTCTAGCAGATAGAGGTACTTACATAGTGTATGTACCAGAGTTGGGTGTGCTTCCGGATCAGCCCAGATCGGGCAAACCGGTAGTAGCAGCTGCGTGATGCTCTGCCCACCCATCCAGATGCTTCTGCACATGCACAGATGCGTCACACATGCCCAAACCGGTAGTAAAAAAAATGGCAACACACTACTGGTATGTACTGTGAAATTCATATGCATCTATTAATTACTACTCATTTCCTTTAAAAGGTTCAGTGCCAGTAACAATCATTTTCCTTTTCTGTGGCATATATAACAAATAAAACTATTTATAAGCGATTTAGTAGCAGCAGATTTTATGTTAAAAGCATTTGTAACTGATTTTCATTTTTCCTTGAAAAGTGATGCCCAAATAGTACTCAGGATTCCAATTGCCATCATAGAGCCAGCTCTAAATATATGTTAGTTTGTAAATATTTATGAAGTAATATATTTTATTTATAAACAAACATATCAGGTTGCTAGTTGTTTTAAAAGATACTTAAATTGTTTTGCTAGCAATATAATTTCTTTGTAGCTTGGCTTTTAAAATCAAATTTATCTCAAAACCTTCCACTTTCTTGGGATATCAGTTTTTGTGAAACTTCTACAATTTAACTGGAAGCATGTTATCTATGTAGACATTGTTTTGATTCAAATAGATATTTGTCTGCAAAAATATGGAAGGGAGGGAGGGAGGAAGAAAGGATGGATGGATGGATTTTATGGCCAACACAACTATCTATTGCATCGTGTTTACCTCATACATCTATATTTGTCAGTTTTCTAGTGTTCCAAGAAGCTTAATATGTTATCCAGCTTTCCATTTTTATTCACCTGCATTAAAAAAAAGCATAGATTAATGGTTGGGAAAAGTAATAAGAGTTATTTAGAGATAAGTTCATCCAATTGGCCTAAGTTATCCATATCAGTTTCAAATAATACTAGACCAGTAGATTATATTTATTTTCCAAATTACTGCTTTAAAATCCATGCACCTTTGAAGAATGGTTTATAAAATGAAAAGTAGTGAAAATATAAAATATATTAGAAGAAAAATACTGAGCAGTTCTTATTTCAGTGGACATGGGATTCCAAAATAGGATCTATAGTTGTTTAATTTAAATATAAATCGATTATTTAATTCCTTCTTTAGGAAATTATTTAAAATATTTGCAGAAATCTTTATGCTTTTGCATTGTAAGTCTTCCTTTACTGCTAAATATAAGCAACAAATAACTTTTCAAAAATTTAGGTAAGATTTGCTCTCTTTCTTTAACTCTGCTTGCACATTGTTTTTGCTTAATGTTTGTGATGTAATTTTGTTCTTAATGTTATCCCTCTCTTTGACCCTAAATGATTGAAATAAAAAAAATATCTTTTTATCATAGCCCTCTTTCTCTGTTCGTGGCCAGAGAGATGATACTGCACTACTTGCAATGTTTAACAATTATGTGCCCTCGTGGGCAAGACGAGGTACGTAATGATATTGTGTCATTTCTGATAATGTCTAAAAATAGCAGTGAAGAAAGTTAACTATTCACAAGTTCAAAGTGCCTGTTTATTTCACTACAAGTGAAGTCCCTTCTTCAGGTCTCACATTGGCCTAAGCCATACATACTGATTGAGATATATTGGTGCTTTATAAAACTGTGGACCAGACTTCTCCAATATTTCTGCAACCTGGTGCCCAGAAAAATGCTGGACTTCAGTTTGTTTATTTATCCAGTTTTATACAGTCATCCAGCTATCCAATAAACTCTGGGAAGTGGACCAGATAAAAGCAAAGAATTCCATTATAGTCCAAAAACATATAAACTCTATAAACCCACTAACTACATATATCCATGGCATAGCTCCAATCCTGTACCCGCACATCAGTGGTGGGTTTCAAAAAAAATTGGAAGCTCTTCTGTAGGTGTGGCCTGCTTTCCGGGTCCACTGGTGGAACCTCTTCTAACCGGTTCAGTAGATTTGATGAATAGGTGCGAACTGGTAGGAACCAACCTCTGCAGCACATACACAAATGTGGTTTAGTGGATGTATTAATATTCCCCAGCAGCTGTCTTCACCAAAACCCAGAACTGCCCTAATTAAGTCCAGCCCCAAGCAGACCAATACTAGTCTACAGAGCAATGGCCAATGAGTCCAAAAGGCACTTGAAAGTTTCTCAATCAAAATAAACCCAATTTAAAATTAAATCCACAATAGAAGAGGGTTAACGGGCAAGAAAAGTCCAGAGTTCACAAGGCATGATCCAAGTTAAGGTATGGTGTCAATCCAAAACAAGGCAAGAATCACAGCGACAAGAAAACACACAGCTAGATGAACATGTTGTTCCCAGCATCACTTCCATCTGTCTGCTGTGCTAAAAAGCTAACTTCTGGTGCAACCCATCAAGAAGAGTGAGGCATTCTTCTCGAGAGTTATCTGGCTGACCTTCTCTGCTCCTGCCTATTCTCTACCCTACATGTTCTTGAATCAAGCGCAGAAGGCAGTTCCTTTTCCTGGCTGCAGCTGCATGTTTTCTCCAACTGAAGCCTCAAGGCTCTACTGCTGCAGTTGTCGTTGAGCTAAATCCGTCTCAGACAACTGCTTGGAGCCATTAACCAACTGCCCTCCAGAAGTGCCTGGAACTGGTTCATCTTCCTCCAAACTGACATCTGGAGAGATATCTGGGGAAGAATCCAGAGACTCATCACAACAACCCAACCCCAGTGCCTACGGAAAGAACCAGGTCTACACGACCTAGCAGGAGCGAGACCTAGCGGTCTCGCTCCTGCTAGAAGGGTCGCCCTGCACTATGGATGTCAACTCTGGGTCCTCCCGCTCCCTCATGTGGGCTCCCGACTCTGCCCCGGCATATCATGTGACCAGCTGTCACCACCGGACACCACATTGAAAGACTACCAGGAGACTCAAATTCCCACCCTGGGCTATTATGTTATAAGGGTGGAGTACGGAGGGTTCAAAGGCTGCCTCCCTGTCCTGGTGGTTGAGGAACCACTGCTGGCCCTGTTGGGCCTGGATTGGTTCCCTCGCTGGGCCTGTCACTGGTGGGGGTGCATCACACTGCAGACACACCCCCTGGCATTGAAGATGTCTTTGCGGAGTACGCTGATGTTTTCAATGGTAAGCCAGGGGAGTATAAGGGGACCCCTATCTCCCTGAACCTAGACCCCCAGGTTGCCCCTATTAAGCTGAAGGCCCGCAGGGTGCCTTTTGTCTTGAGGCCAAAGGTTGATGCGGAACTCGACAAATTGTTGATGCAGAGCGTCCTAGAGCCCGTCGATCACTCTAAATGGGAGACCCCCATTGTGGTCCCTGTCAAGGCTGATGGGTCTATCAGGATGGGTCTATCAGGATCTGCGCCAACTATAAGTCGACCATAAACCTTGGCCTCCAGGCAAACTCCTATCCAGTCCCTGTGGTGCAGCACCTGCTCCATTCCTTGGGGCAGGGCTGCATCTTCACCAAACTGGAGACATCAGGCCTACCAGGAGCTCCCGGTGGATGACAATGCGGCAGCAGCCCAGACCATCATCACCCACCATGGGGCTTTTCGTTGTCACCGCCTCCAATTCGGCGTTTCCGTTGCCCCAGGGATCTTCCAGAGGCTCATGGAGCAGCTGCTCCATGGGATCCCTGGCGTAATCCCCTACCATGATCACAGCAAACAGCTGCTCAGGGCTCATTGAAGTGTTAGGGAAAGTCCTTGACCGTTTCAGGGGCGCGGGTTTAAAGTTAAAGTGCAGCAAATGCTTATTTGCTGTGCCTAAGGTGGAATTCCTGGGTTTCTTAATAGATGCCCAGGGCATCCACCCTACCCCTCCAAAGTTGCGGCCATAAGGAATGCCCCAATGCCTGCCTCTAAGGTGGAGCTACAGGCATTTCTCGGTCTTTTAAACTTTTACGCACCATTCTTGCCACACAAGTGTCACTAGCCGAGCTGCTGCATCGGTTGCTCGACTGATCCACAGCCTGGCGCTGGGGCAGCCATGAAGTGCATGCATTCGCGGCTGTCAAAGCCATGCTTATGTCAGCGGCTGTCCTAGTCCAATATAGTGACAGGCTACCGCTGACGCTGGCAGGTGATGCCTCCCCCATTGGTCTGGGGGTTGTCCTGAGCTATGTCCTTCCCAATGGCTCTGAAAGCTTTTTATTCCTGGACACTCTCTCCAGTGGAGAGGAACTACAGCCAGATTGACAAGGAGGCTCTGGCTGCCGTGTCCGGGATTAAAAAGTTCCATGATTATCTATATGGACAGCATTTCACACTGTTCACCGACCACAAGCCTCTCCTTGGACTTCTGGCCAGTGACCATCCAACCCCTCCCATTCTCTCCC